AGATGTTCACCCGTACTAAACAAATACAGCAGTGGCACGTCTGTACAATTTAGACAAACAAAAAGAACACATAGAATAAAAATAATAGAATCACTCAATGAACACTGGTCAGCAAACAACATATATATATATTATTCCACAGAGTACATTTATTAAACAAAAAATCCAAAGAAATAATAATTACCCAGCTCAAGGATCGAATTTAAATCTACACGCGGGCAGTCTTTCATCTACATGCATCGCGACTCTGTGCACAAAACAAAACAAAATAGGATCTCTTAAACATGCGTCGGACATCCCTTACTTCGTCCACAACCATATGGTACAACTTTATTCTCAGCCATCCTGAATAACGTTAAGATAACATCTCACCGTTGATATATGCATCGATTCCCACCCCAAGCCATGCGTGTATCTTCTTCCGGGATTTCCCAGCATACATTGGTCTTTTCCGTAACCCCCCAAAAAACTTAGGCCATCTACTGTTCAAAATGTGCAACTACAGCAGAAAATAACAGCTATTTTTGTTCACCTGGTTACATAGAAAAAGAATATTAAAACAATAAAAAGAAACAGGAAGAGAAAGGGATAAATGAAGCCAGTAAGTGGCTGTCAGAAGCCAACAAAAGGATGAAAGGTGCAGAGAAAGAGAAAGAGGCAAGCATAAAAGAAACTCTCACCCTGGTAGATAAAGAAGATGAAATCATAGTTATGAGCACCAGAACACCTCCTGTGCAAAACGCACAAACTACCCCAGTCCTAATCCCCCCCACCTTACCCAGTTAACCCACCTCCACTCGAAAACCCACTTTATCCTGGTCTTAGCACTGTATGGAAAGAAAATCTAACAGTTTCACCCCTCGTGCTACAAAGAGTGACAGGAATGCAAAATAGGGGAGGGCAATGGTGAGGAATCTGGGCTATAAAAAAAATCCCTTTAGTAGCACAGGACAAATCCAAGTCCGCCAGTAGAGGAGGTTGAGACCTTTCCTATGATTGCTGTTCCAAACCCTGGGGGAGGGGCAGCTGGGGCTCCAAATGTAATGTACGTCTATTGTCCATGAACAGCTGAAGACGTAAAAAAAGCAATAGAGGGAATTCCACACCCCAAAGTAAAAGTAGCTCAATTTATACAGGACATAATGAACCTATATAGAAGTTACCGTTTGAATGGAGCTGAAATAGAGAGAACCATCAGACAGGTAGTAGGACCTGATTGATGTATAACTAGTTGAGACTGTGACCCAAATGATGATCAGGTACAACCGCTCCAATACAACAATGCTGATCTCAACCAAAAAATAGACCAACTAATGGACAAAGCTAGAACCAGATATCAATCACGGGCATCTTGGACAGAGATAAACTGATGCATACAAAAGGATGATGAGGATGTAGATCATTACTACGCCAGACTAAAAGAAGTGTATGATAATCACAGTGGCGTACAGCCCCCACAAAATGCAGATAATGACAGTCCATATGAACAACAAGCAAAAAATGCCTTCCTAAAAGGCTGTCTGCCCCAAATCAGTGGTTTTATCACTAAACACATGACTGACCACTGCACTGCTCGCCTCACAAATGCACTAGATTATGCCAGACATGCTGAGCAGCACTTGGAATAAAAAAAAAAATGACACACTCCAGGTACCATGTTCTGTCCACACCTTGTTTCCACTGAATCCACTTCAATGTGTCCCTCCTGAGCTGTCCAGGGCTTATGCAGCTCCTGAAAAGGCTTAAAGGAAACAACAGGGAATTACTGTTAAATACACAGTAGACGAGCTGACAGAAATATGATGTAAATGTTAATAAACCAAGTCTTTAATAAAGGATTTCAGGCCCACTGTGTGCAGGGTATCTGCAGAGCTTTGCACTGAACTAAATTCACTCCAAAAAGTATTTCCTAAGGTCTTGAATATTTTTCCTGCCTGCCGTAACTTTCGTTCCCCCTGTTGAGATGCACAAACTTAAGTAAATGAACCATTTAATTTTGAACGAGTTACCCCACACACCATCACCTGGGCACAGACCTCTGAGGCGGAGCCCCAGGCTGAACCAGCTGGGGGCAGTGGACTGACACCGCCTCCCACTGATGTCTGCTGGTGTTGTCCTGGGGTGCGAGGGCAGGGCTACAGGCTGTGGTCATTGTGGTTTTTCTTGAAGATCACATACTGTTTCCTGCTTGCAGGGACTCCTGGCGTCGAAACACGTCACCATCAGCGCCTTACAGGACGACGTGGCTCGAGAGTCCAAGGTGAGGTGTCTCAGCGTTTTATCTAATCGTCTACTGTAGTTTTAATCACCACTGATGTGGAGCTGACGTCATTGTGTGAACACAGGAGTACGAGGACCTGCTGCGCACCTGTGGACAGGCCCCGAGGGTCCCGCGGCACAACCTCGCCTCCCCTTACAAGGGGTTATAATGCTATGTTTTATTTTATTTCATTTGTTTTTTACAGAACCTTGTCTAAAAATAAATGGGGAAGACATTGAATTCTTATGTAATTGTACTTTAAACATTCCCCAAGGCCAGATCCTTGTTATGGGAAACTGCACTGACAGCTTCCTACAGCTGACAAACTTGGCATCTTTCATGCACACTCTTATCACAACCACACCTCACCATAGAGGTGAATGGCTCTAGCAAAAAAAAAAAGCAACCGGGTTTGCTGTAGCAAAACCCTTACCAAAACACTATTCTGCCCAAGCAGCATCCTATATCATAAGGAAACCACAAAGCTGATGAGGAACCTAAGAAAGCATCACAAACAGAAATACTGACAGTAGACTACTCATCTCTCAAATAGATCAAACAGTTTTACAAGATATGCAGAAAGCAGCCTCACAAGCCGAAATCCAGAAATGGACGAAAAAAGAGGGAACCTTTAATGAGAAAACAGAACTGTATGAATGACCAGAAGGGAAACCTATCCTACCAAACAACCTTTTTAGATATGCTGCAATTTTGAGCCATGGACAAAGTCATGTCTCAACAGGAGGGATGACAGCCATGATAGGTAAAGTGTTCACAGCATATGGATTTTCAAATTAATCTAAAAGGTTTTGTGCTACCTGTACAATATGTGTTCACCACAATGCAAGAGGAAACCAAAGAAAGTGCAAAAATTGACTGACTGTAAATGGGTCAAATTTGTCCTCTCTCTTTTATAAAATAATGACACTGTACTGCCAGTTTCTCTCTCAACATGTAGAATACTCTTGTTTTTGCTATAGTATTTGATTGGCAGTCCAGCAGTAATGATGTCTGTTAAGTACTGACTGCACCATGTACGCATACTGGGAAAGAGGAGGTAGAAGGAATCAGCACAGATCCAGTAACAGGTGCACTAGTGAATGTTACTGTGTGGCTGAGGTAAATTAGTCCTGTACATCAAAGCATATTATGAAAGAAGATACTTCCCTGAGGCAAACACATGATGTTGACAAGGTTTAACTACCATAAAATCCAGACTATAAGCCGCTACTTTTTTCACAAGCTTTGAAGCCTGCGGCTTAAACAATGATGCAGCTAATTTATGGATTTTTATGGGCTAACGAGCTTCATGCCATCCAATACATTTAGCCTCGTCACATCAAACCAATGAAATTACCGAACAGTTCACAGTGGACCAATGAAACTGTTCGAATTAAATCAAATGCACTCACACTAAATTCTGCAGATTAGTCATTTTGCGCTTCATGCGCACACCCTCATCATGGAAAACGCACGAAGAAATGCATATGATGCAGCTTTCAAGTTACGTAAAGGTGATCGATCTGGCTGTCAAAGAAGAAAATAAAGCTGCTGCACGTAGCTTGGTATCAATGAATGGATGGTGAGACATTGGAGAAGGCAGCGTGAAGAACTGACTCAATCCAAAAAGACGACAAAAGCTGTGTAACATCTTTCTGTGTAAATATCTCATGTTACAATGTGGACAGCTGCGGCTTATAGACTAGTGTAACAAATTTAATGTAAAATTAACTTGGCTACACAAGTGCAGCCTATATATGTACAAAAAATTTATATTCTTAAATTTAGTGGGTGCGGCTTATAGTCAGGTGTGCTCAATAGTCCGGATTTTACGGTAATACTTTGTTCAGCAATTGTACATTTAATTAGTACATTTAATTTGTGAGTAGTTCATTCTTATCAGATTTGTTCAGCATGTTAACTGTACCACACAAATGTTACTGACCTTGCTTGTTGAAATGCTGTTGTCTGTGTAGCGGAATGATTTCGTCACATCCGTGTCGAGGTACTCTGCGTTGTGATTAACCCGCTGGAGACAATCTTTCGGCTACAAATGTTGCTATGCTAGTATAGCAGCAATGATGCGAACACAACTTACCTCCATGAGAGTGTATGGCAGACTGGCGCCAATTGAACCACGCTTCCTTATTAGAAATAAGGAAGCAGCACGGGCTGCACCCCCTCAAGTTTGCAGGGGCACCCCAGTCTATTACTACCACACACATCTCACTTCTGGAGGGAGTAACAAAATAAAAATGCCATTGCAACAAAATTATTTGGGTTATGGCAAATGGAATTATAACTCCGCTACATTTGCATTGCTGGTGCCTTAGTGTGTAAATCTTGTGCTGCTGTAACAAATCAGCCTGCGTCTTCTTTCTTCAGATAGTTAATCTTGCTTAGACAGTGAGCACTCAAGTGTAAAGCATCCTTTTTCCTGATGATGATGCTTCCACAAAGCAGCCAGTGCTTGATGGTTCACTTTTCATTAACTCCTACACTAAAGGAAACAAAGAGCCTTTGGGTCTGTCTACTGTGTTTTCATCTCACACCTCACCTTGCACTTCTGTTTGCCTGTATTGCTATGGGTGCATGTACTTCCATGATGTGTAACCTGAAAAGATTTGATTTCTTCACTTTACCTTCATTATTGTCTCTGTGACTGAAAAATGTAAGTCTGGGAAATGCAACTGAGGATTTGTTTTTCCCTCAGTGTATCTATGAGTGTGTACATGTTTTGTGATGTGCTACCCCCTCTTTGGTCCATGTGTTCAACATTTGTGGTAAAGGCCTACACTCTACTGTCAGTTATTTGCCTTCACACTGGTTTGTGACCTTTAGGTCATTGGTAAAGATTTCTTCCAAGGCCAGAGAGGAGTGACTGAGTAATGTGCTGATATATTTTCATGTATCAAACAGAAATGCACTAGAGGAAGCCCTGCCTAGAATATATGCTGTCAGAGAGGAGGAAAAAATGAGACCACTCACTCGATTGCTTTTTATACTCACTGGAATTCGAAGATTTTGGACTTGGGCAACAGCAGTGATCTTTACCACATTGGCTTATTTCTCCTACAAACAGAAATGTATTTATTTATTTGCCATTAGAATAGTTCCAAATTTGTTATAATAAAATACAATTCTACGCATTATCATTAACAGGATTGGCTTTTTGAAAATCTGAGCAAAATGGCCTGATGATTGTTCTGCTACAGACATGTTTCACAGTAGGTCCCAGATTGTTAATGCGGGTTGAGGTTTCCCAGTTTTATTCACAATAAAGTTGCAAAAATAATTCAATCAATAGCAACAATAAAAAAAGCTGCAACTATTTGGATGATCAAATAAACACTTTAATCACTGTCTATATGGCTGTTTGTTTTTCTAGTGTGCGTTTTCCTGGAGTGTCTGCTTCCTTTGCAGGTCCGAGCACATTATGAGCACCTGGCTCTGCTGTCTATGGGTTAACAGGTCCAACTCCTGGTGTCTCGGCATGCCTTGCCTTGCAGCCTGTGCCTACCACTGCTTTTTTGTTTTGTTATGTTTTATTTTTGTTAAATCCTCACACTTCAACATTGCACCATTGTACTGCACACGATCACAGTTACACTACTGACATGGCTGATTAACACACCTCAATTTTTGTTTAAATATCTTTTGTTTAATAAATAGTCTGTTTTGCTGTCAATTTATGTGTCTGTCTCTCATAATCAGTCCATGCTGGTACCAATGAGCATTCTTTGATCAAAAATTATTGAATTATCAGTAATTGTAATTGCTGCCTGTTAATTTTCTGACAATCATCCATTTTAGCTTGGGGGTTTACCAAATGGCTTCACAGAGGCAGGGGGCCCTGAGCCAGAGCCTCACTGCAAAGTGACATAGTCAAGACAAACAGCCACAAAATGAGCACAATGAGCTGCAAAGCATTCATAAAGAGAAATAAGTACATAGATACAAAATGACTGCAGTGAAATGTAAAATAACCATAAAGAGACTGTGTCATCTTAAAGTATAATTTTGAGGTATACTGTATGTACTTGAGTATTTTCATCTTCTGCTACTTTACTACATTTTAGAGGCAAATATTGTACTTTTCACTGCATTTATTTAATAACTTCAACTTTTCACAATCAAATTAATAAACGAAAATACAGTGTAATCATAAGACTTTATCCTCAGTGCCCAGCAGTACATCAAATTATTATAGCCATATAATTTTGTTAAAATTAGCTCCATCTTTACCAGCTGCAACATTAAAGTGATGTAAACAGTAATTACAGGATAATGTAGTCCTTTTACTTTGGATACCTTCAGTATATTTTGATGCTAATATGTGTATACTTAGTAAAATTCCAGTAACATCTTGAATGCAGGACCTTTATTGTAACTGAATATTTTTTCACTGTGGCATTGGCACTCAAGTACCACTTCAGTAAAGAGTCTGTGTACTTCTTCCATCACTTATTGTACCTCCTTCCTCTCCTTCAGGAAAAGAAAG